CTTGAAAGTTTGCGAGGGACATATTTCATAACGATATTTTATTATCTTTCTATGACATACAAAAGAAATTTTTGAAAGCAATAATTTGAAATGAGAAAAAGGAATCAATTATTAGTTCGTTATTTTTTTCAATTCCTTCATTTCGGTAATAATCTCTATCACTTTCAACATTTTGACACGTAGCTTTTCGAGCGCTGCGTCAAGTTGAACACATATAGCTTCCATTAGACTAATTAATGTACTACGGTCATAGGTACAAATTCTTTCAATACATATCTTCTCAGTCAACACCGTACTCTCGTCCAATATGCGTTGCAGCTCAATTTTGTGTTTCGCGAGCTCTTCGCGTAATGCTGCCATCGCTTTCTAAAGTGAATAATATAATACAATATCTCCCAAGTAACAACTCTTTACAAATATAGAAATGTTGGCGCGAAAATATTATTAAAACTAATTAACTTGAAATACCAAAAAAAACTGCTGAAGATGAAAGACATTTTGGATTTTCTCAAATTCCTCAAACTATGAATTGAATGGTTATGCTGTTGGCACAGCAGATGATCTGACATTTTTTGAATTAGACGAAGAAACCCTTTAAAATTTTAAGTACATGAAGGATCAGTTACGGAATGTTCGCAAATAATGATAAAATTACAATTAGTTGAAGATTAGTTAAAAAAAACATACGAAAGGATTCTGTGATAATTTGTCCATTGCTGTTGTGTGTTCGCTTAAAACGCTGAAAAATTATAATAATCTGAAAATTATAATAATATTTTGTATGTGTTTAACGCAAAAATTAGTTTTTCCCGAAACATCACGTAAATTACGGAATTTTGTCCCAAGAAATTCATGCTACTACCATTTTCTCACGTCGGCTAAAATCCACAAGTACTACGAAAATATCCACGCGTTTCTAGCTGGAAAAAATATGAAGCCATTTACTTGAAACGAGAAATAGCCATGCATGCATACTTTCAAATAAACTTACAATATCAATCATCTAATTACACCATTTAATCTGCCTGCTTTTTTAAACTTACAATATCAATCATCTAATTACACCATTTAATCTACCGCGTACAATGCTATGGATATTATGAAGCCATTTACTTGAAACGAGAAATAGCCATGCATGCATACTTTCAAATAAACTTACAATATCATGGCAGTAGAGGGAAAATGGAGTAGATTATGGGAATGTGGATCCATCAGCAATAAAAAAAGAAGCAATGAAAAAAAGAGGACCTTACAATCCATAAAGTCCCATAAAAATACTCCACGCCTTTAAAAAGTAATGTATTCACTTTTACAAACCTGATATATACTTGCTATTTTATCGATCATGTCCGTAATTTCCATATTTTTATACAAATCTGGACAAAGCATGCGAACTGTTGCTTCGATAGCATTGTACGCAGCAAGCATCACGTTTGCCATCCTGCCTCTTATCTTGTTTTCCGGAAATAGAATTCAGAATCACATAACATCAAATATATAACTGTTGTACTGTTGAAACTTTACTTGAAAGTTTGCGAGGGACATATTTCATAACGATATTTTATTATCTTTCTAAGACATACAAAAAAATTTTTGAAAGCAACAATTTCATTTTTTTCAAGATAAATTAGATAAACTCAAAAAGAACAACATCCATTTTTTTCAAGATAAATTAAAACTTCTCTATGATAATCTTCAAATCACCTTACCTAACATTCGTTCAGCTAGAACTGTAGAAGAAAGGATAAAGCAAAAATTGGATAAAAGCAGCGGAAAAATACAACAAAATACGACCCCGTAAAATCATTTTAGTATTTTCACTACTATCTTACACGATTGTAAGGATTATTAGGTCACGTAACCTATAATATCACAAATTTTTTTACTTTGAAGGACTTGGGAGATATTGTATTATATTATTCACTTTAGAAAGCGATGGCAGCATTACGCGAAGAGCTCGCGAAACACAAAATTGAGCTGCAACGCATATTGGACGAGAGTACGGTGTTGACTGAGAAGATATGTATTGAAAGAATTTGTACCTATGACCGTAGTACATTAATTAGTCTAATGGAAGCTATATGTGTTCAACTTGACGCAGCGCTCGAAAAGCTACGTGTCAAAATGTTGAAAGTGATAGAGATTATTACCGAAATGAAGGAATTGAAAAAAATAACGAACTAATAATTGATTCCTTTTTCTCATTTCAAATTATTGCTTTCAAAAATTTCTTTTGTATGTCATAGAAAGATAATAAAATATCGTTATGAAATATGTCCCTCGCAAACTTTCAAG